GATCTTGAAATGAATCCACTAAGTGCTGCCAACCGGCCTGTCAACCTCTAGACTTCCTTTACACTTGTCAATTGATCTGGTATATCTTCTATGGCCTTAATCTTGTTAGGATTCTCTTCAATTCCTCATTGTGAAACCAAGAAGCCAAGATACTTCCCAAAACCAACTCCAAAGACGCATATTTCAGGATTGAGCTTCATGTTGTATTTTCTTTGAATATCAAAGGCCTCTTGTAGATGAGCGAAATGATCCCCTACATTAAAAGACCTAACCAACATATCATCAATATAAACTTCCATGGTTTTACCAATTTGATGTTCGAACATCTTATTAACGAGTTTTTGATAAGTGGCTCCAGCATTCTTAAGCCCAAAAGGCATCGCATTATAACAATATGTGCCAAAATTTGTAATGAACAAAGTTTTTTATTGATCTTCCAGGTGCATCCTAATTTGGTTATACCCAGAATATGCATCAACAAAACTCATCAACTCATGTCCGGCCGTAGCATCGATCATTTGGTCGATCTTCGGCAACGAGAAATAATCTTTAGGGCATGCCTTATTTAAATCCTTATAATCTATGTACATTCTAAATTTATTATTCTTTTTAGGAACAACCACTACGTTAGCTAACCAATCGTGATAATTTACCTCTCGAATTGAACCTATATTCAGTAATCGGATTACCTCTTCTTTAACAAACTTGTTCCTGACTTTAGATATCGATCGTTTCTTCTGCTTTACCAGAGGGAAGTTAGGGTCCAAACTCAACTTATGGACAACCATTTCCAACCTGTCATATTTGAATGAGACCATGCAAAGCAATCTATATTAGTTTTAAGAAAATCAATAATTTTAAGTCTTAGTTTGGGGATCAACCCTGTTCCCAAATGAAACTTCCTTTCTAAGAACTCTAAGAACAAAGCAACTTGTTCGAGCTCCTCTGCGGTTGACCTTGTTGCATATGTTTCTTCCGGTACCTGAAACGACCTTGGTACCTTATAGAAATCCGACGACTCCTCTTCCCCATCACCTTCAATCGGGATGGAAGAGGACATTGGTTCTTGTAGTTGCTATTTACTTGCTCCTTCCACCTTGCTACTGGATAAAGTCACTATATTCATTTTCATGCTGCAGGTTGATCACCTTGGATCTGCTTGATCCCCTCTGGTGTTGGAAATTTCAACAACTAATGATAAGTTAATGTCACATCCTTCATCTCGCAAATCCAAGGCCTACCAATGAATCACATTGTATCCCATATAGCCATCCACCACTTCGAACAAAGTGGTCTTCGTTACGCCTTCGGCATGTGTGTGAAGTAAAATCTCTCCTTGGATCGTTACACTCGTTAGGTTGAACCTGGCCAGAAGCTTTATTGCCGGAATTATGTTTCCGGTTAACTTTGCTTGTTCTAAAACTCTCAATTGAATGATATTGGTTGAACTACCTGGATCAACCAACACATGTTTAATTTTTAAATCTAAAACATTAAGCGATATTACCAAAGCATCATTGTGTGGTAAAAGAAGGCCATCAGCATATTATTCCGTAAAGGTGATTTCATCATCTTCTGATGCTTCTCAGATCCTCTTTCCATGAGTTACCGTTATCTTTATCTTATTTGTTGTTGAAAATATCACTCCATTTACTTCAACACCACCAAAGATCATGTTTATTGTTAGGTGAGGTGACCTTGTAGTCGGTTTGGCCGGTTCCACATCATCTTGATTCCTCCCATAATCACTTTTAGCTCGATCACTCAAAAATTCTCTAAGATGACCGTTCTATAACAATGTTGCAACCTCTTCCTGAAGATGGCGGTAGTCCCTAGTCATGTGGCCATGTGTTCCTTGAAATTCACACCATAGATTAGGATCCCTTTGACTATGATCCGACTGAATTGGCTTTGAAAATCTAGACTCCTTGATGTTTCTCATAGCAGAAAATAACTCTACCAAGCTTATATAGAAGTTGTAATCGGATAACCAGGGTTATCCTGAATCCCGGGACCCCGATAGCTCCTTCTCCTGCAAAGCTCTACTATTCCGACCATGATCCGTCCTTCTATCTAATACAAACATGTCTGATGTCTAAAATCCTTTATTTCCTCGCTCTTCAGCTCTTTCATAAGGCTGAAAATGACTTATGGAAGACCTCTAGTCTGCATCGAAATCAGTTTTGAACTTTTTCTGATTCTGATCGTGATTGTGACCCTTGGACGACACCGAAGAACTCAATTGATCATCTTCAATTCTAATTTTGATTCATAACGATTGTGGACATCTGTCCATGTGGTTTCCTGAAATGCCAACAGTCCTTCCTTCAATTTTCTAGAGGCATCAAAGCTCAATTGATTAAGACCTTTGGTGAACGCTTCATCTGCCCGCTCATCTGGTACTGCCGACATTAGAATCCTTTCCTTTTGAAACCGCATTACGAACTCTTGTAACTATTTAGACTCTCCTTGAGTAATTCTGAATATGTCTGCTTTCCTAGATTGGACTTTCCTTGCCCCAACATGAACTTAATAAAAGAATCGGAAAGTATTTCAAAAGAGTCAATCGAATGCTCAAGTAAAAGAGAATACCATGTTAAAGCACCCTTCGTTAAAGTTTTGCCAAATTTCTTTAACAAGACAAGATTTGATCTCATGCATCCCAAATCATTTTCCTTTACAACTATAGTGTAAGTTGTGATATGATCTTGTGAATCCAAAGTTCCTATCATACTTTGGAATATCGGGAATCTTGAATCTTTTCAGATTCAATTCCGAGGCCATACTCGGTTTGAACGACAACTGTGTATACTTCTTCGAATTCGGTCCCTTCAACATCGGTGGTGCTCCATGGATCTGATCCATCCAGGCATGGAATTCTTTAGCATTTTTCTCCAATAGTTCATTCATTTCCCTCACGAATATTATGAGTTCGGTTTTGAAAGGATCATTGGCGTTGTTGTCATTCCCGAATCCACTACCTGCACCAGTTGCCTCATTTTTATTAAAATCGAACTCCTCCCTTGAAGCGACATTTCCAGTTCTCTGTGTTGATTGATTTGCAGGCACACCAGGAGGGACTCGAACTCCTCAATTGGAGTTATTGGAAGTAGCCGAAAGAGCCTGCTTCAGCTCTGTCATTACCCGGTCTTGTCTTGAGAGATGATTCATAATTTTTCTTTGTTGCGCTCTCAAAACTTTGACCGTTTCAACAACACGTTGATCGTCCATATCATCAGGAGTTGGACTTCTCACATGCCAAGGATTTCGTTCTTTGCAAACCAGAGTTGTTTCATCTCATTCGTTGCGAGTTTCATTAGTTGAATCATCACGCTGGAACACATCTGCATGTTCATTGTTTGTTCCAACATTGAAAGAGTTGTTCACATCGTTAGCTGCCATATCTGATTTTATTTTTACTAAAGAAAAAACGTCAAAATCCGTTAATAACACATGAATGGATCAAAATAATGACACAATTGTCTATGCCCCACGGTGGGCGCCAAACTGTTTACCCTAAAATAGTACAATTGAATTTGTAACGTGATTTATAGAAACGTGAATTAATTTGATCCAAGAATATAAAATAACTAAGAACAAAAGTAAATTGATTAATATAACTTGAAGAAAATACAAGCCTGACTATGAGCTCAGCTTCTCCGATATCAATAATAAGAACAATATTACGAACAAAAAGAGAAAAAAATATTTAATAGAATAAAAGCAAATTTTGGATTTTGTGTACAAATAATATTTTTTGTGTCTTACAATGAATACAAATTCTCCTATTTATAACTCAATCCAGGGAGGCAAGATCCCCAAATCAAACTTTTTTTTTAATGTCAATAAAACCTCTCTTGATGGCTGCATAATGGTGGGGAATTAATGCAAAGATTCTTTGTAACGACTGCTCATTGGATGCCGTCCTTTCCAAACGATATCTTCCTTTTGAGTCTTTGCTCTCAGTTTAAATGCCTTCGGAACTTATTTAGCATCGGTCACGTGTACGTGATGGTGCCAACTATTTATTGACTCATACCTTACTTATTTTTTACTTCCACGTGTCAACTCGTCGTGCATCCACCCATGGCTCATCAATTTTACCCTGTACAAGAAGGATACATATATTTGATCGAAATTATTTAAGAAAAATAGAAAAAAAATCGAAATTAGTACTACAGTCTGTAACACATAATCATTGGATCACATGAAGAAAACTGGGCCAGGTGAAAAAGTGAGCCAATGTCAAAATCAAATTTGGGTTTTGTACAATGGATAACTCTCATATTGTCATTTCCTCATAGGTCGGTTTGTAAACCCGCCATTTCCCTTTCCACTCTCTCACTACCCGCTTCTATAAATTCTCGAATTCAAGTCTTCACGAGAAATTTCTTCACTATCCCCAAAATCCTCTCAAATTCAAATTTCTGTTTCGGATTTATCACTGAGATTTTCAAATTTCGTGAATGCCTGTGAACTTGACGGCGAACGCGATCCCGGCTATTATCGCCGGCGACGTGAACTCAAAGCCAGTGGTTCAGGTATTGGACATCAAGCTAATCGGCGCCGCAGCGGATCGGTACGGACTCCTAATCTCAGATTCTGAGTCGAGTCAGCAGGCTATGCTGGCTGCTCAGCTTAATGACCGAGTCAAAACGGGCCGCGTTCGCAAAACCTCCGTCATTCAGTTGATTGAGTACATTTGTACCACTGTTAAAAATCGCAAGTATGAATTTATTATTATTTTCTTCAAGCTTCAGTTAGAAATATTATATGTACAGTGCATATGATTACATGTGCTTCTACTTTTAATTGCATATAAAGCTTTGTGATATTTGCTTTATTATGTGTTCTCCTTTTCTGTTGTGCGCGTGCTTGTGTAACTGTTTTTTTACGCTATCAGTGATTTTTAGATGCTATTTTAAATAGATTACTAATTAATGCCTATTAAGAGATACTCGTAATAAGACTTATTGTGTAAATANTTTAACCTGGGACTTTCCCATATTTTATGCTTTCCTCGAATTGAACTCTTGTAACTAAACCGTTCTATACTCAATTAAGGAATAGAGTTCCCAAATTTTTTGTTTTCATTGTTTAATCAGCTATTTCCTATTTATTTTATTTCAGAAATCTAAAACAAAAAATGGATTTTGAAGACAAAATAGAAAGAAAAGAACCTATTTTGCATCGCTCAAAATTGACAACCAGTCATACAGAATTTCATTAAGCAATTTTCTCTATTGGGTTAAGGGCAAGATATACATGGGGGTCTATATAATAATTCAGAGAAAATAAAGAGTTAGAAAGTTAGACAAAACAAAAAGGTACTTTTTCTATCCATGTACAAAGTCTTTCAAATGTAAAAAATGATTGATTTGACTTTGCTTTTGTTGTTTTACCTTTAATTAGAATGTTGATGCCTTGGTAGAGAATTACTCCTCGCTGATTTGGATGTGCAATTATGCCCAAAAAAAAAATGCAGTTATATTAGTTCATTATTTTTTCTGCTACTTCTCTTGTGGTCACATTTGTGTTTATCATCCATACATTAGTCATTCCGATTTTAACTTTGATAGATTGGGCTTGGATTTTGTTGTTTCGAGCTTTAACTAGAATGTTAATGCCGTCATAAGGAATTATCCTTTAATCATATTGATAAGCACTTCTTTTTATATGCAAAAGGCAATACGCATGTATAACTTCATTATGTTTTGTCCAAGTTTTCTGGTGTGCGCATGTCATTTCGATCATAAAGTTAGATTTGGCTTTGATTTGTTGTTTGAGCTTTAACTAGAAGGTTAATGTCATGGAAGGAAATGATTTTTTGGTCGGCTCGATGGTGGAGAATTACTCCTTAATAATTTGAGCATGAGCAGTAGTGCAACATAACAAAACACATGTTTCTTGTCAATAATTGGTAATTGTGTTTCATTTTTGATTTGGTGTTAGCTTTCTATGTGTTCCGCGACGATTGTGTCAGAAACATGAAGCAGTTTTCCCCTTGGAAATTGTTGCACTGCCACATCTTTGCCTTGGTGTGTCATCTTGAATTGGGTGCCGAAAATGCTGTCCCATATTAGAAGAGTGTGGCACTTTTGTGCATTGGGCGCAGTGTATTAGGGGATCAAACAAGTGTCTATTTTAGCTAATAAGAAGTAATGGATTATCTTCTTCCGTATATCAATCTGGATTATACCTTTGATTGGAACTTGGGCTGGATGTGTTGATCTTGTTTTCCTTTTGCAGAATTATTGTTGTCATCAACATGGAAACTATTATACCTGAATGTGAAATAATTGGGAATCCTAAAGCGCTTGTAGAATCTAATTTTGGAGCTCAGAAAGCTATATCTAATGGCGTTTCTGGGTCTGCAATCTTTAACAATGGTAACTTGAGTGCTCAAAGATCTGGCCAAACAAGCTTTGCTAACAGCAACAATTTGAGCTCCCTACATTCAGGTAATAGCATGCAGAACTACCCACCTGCAATTCAACCTGCATATCAGCCTCCTCCAAATTACAAAAGCCATGGGACAATAATGAAGAATGAAGCACCTGCCCGCATTATTCCAATTGCTGCTTTGAACCCCTATCAGGGTCGGTGGGCTATTAAGGCTAGAGTGACTGCAAAGGGGGATCTACGTCGCTATAATAATTCCAGAGGAGATGGAAAGGTCTTCTCATTTGATCTCCTTGACTCAGATGGGGGTGAAATACGTGTCACTTGCTTTAATGCGGTTGTTGATCGCTTTTATGACAAAATTGAAGCTGGAAAAGTGTACATGATATCAAAAGGCAGCTTGAAACCTGCTCAGAAGAACTTCAACCATCTGAAGAATGAATGGGAAATATTCTTGGAGATAACTTCAACCGTAGATGTCTGTCCAGATGAAGATGCCACTATACCAAGACAGCAGTTCTCATTTAGACCTATTAGTGACATTGAAAGTGCAGAAAGCAATTCAATCATAGATGTGATTGGAATTGTAATAGCTGTCAATCCTTCTGTTCCGATCCTGAGAAAGAATGGAATGGAAACTCAAAGAAGAATCTTGAATCTAAAGGATCAGTCTAGGCGAAGTGTTGAGCTGACACTATGGGGAGACTTCTGTAACAGGGAAGGTCAAAAGCTGCAAGAAATGGCAGAAGCTGGGTTTTCCCCTGTTTTAGCTGTCAAAGCTGCAAAAGTTAGTGACTTCACTGGGAAATCCATTGGAACCATTTCTTCCACTCAACTGTTCATAGATCCAGATTTTGCAGAGGCTCAAACTCTAAGAGAATGGTTTGATCAGGGAGGAAAAGATGTTGCTTCTCAATCTATATCTAGGGAAAACATGCCTGCAGGATCAAAAAGTGAGATACGTAAGACCGTGTCTCAGATCAAGGATGAAGGGCTTGGTAGGTCAGATAAACCAGACTGGATTACAGTTAAGGCAACTATAACATTCATCAAAACCGAAAGCTTCTATTACACTGCTTGCCCTCTGATGATTGGAGATAGACAATGTAATAAGAAAGTTACCAGGTCAGGAAACTCGAGATGGCAATGTGATAGGTGCAATCAAGAGTTTGAGGAATGTGATTACAGATACCTTCTTCAAGCTCAAATTCAAGATCATACTGGGTTGACATGGGTGACAGCTTTCCAGGAATCTGGGGAAGAGATTTTGGGTCGTCCCGCAAAGGAGCTACACATGATGAATGAAGAGGCGGATGGTAACAGATTTTCTGAAATTATTAGAAAATGTCTCTTTACACAATTTCTATTCAGGCTTAAAATCAAAGAGGAACTTTATGGTGATGAGCAGAAGGTGAAGATTACAGTTATCAAGGCAGAGAAAGTGAAACATTCTGCAGAAAGCAGATATCTCCTTGATTTAATTTCAAAATTCTGTCCTTCTTGAACAAAGGAAGCCAGATGAGAGATTCTTATTGCATCCATTTTTAGGAAACCCATTGGCTCTCTTTCTCAGAGAGATATAGGCAAAAAGTCATTGTTGTAGTCAGGTGATTATTTTTCTCTTCGCCATAGGAAGGTGCATTATTTGCATTCTTGCTTTGAAATCCCACTTAATGGTCTAATGTAGTTTTAGTATCCAATTGATTTGGAAGGAGCATATTTTCATTTTTCTTGTCCCATGAGTTGAATAGTTGAATTTACAATATTATTCTCATTTGTCTTCATCACAAGAACATTTTTTATTTTTTTTGATTTGGTAATCCCCACCTCCCTTTAATCCGTTCTCTCCACGGTCCAGCCAGTGGTGTTTCTCACTTTTGCCCTTCTTGTAAGTGAGCACTCAACTTGGATGGAATAATCTTTCAGTTCGTATTTCTAGATGTATAAAATGGAATAATCTTTCAGCTGTTCTTATTTTATATGTAAATATTGGATGTTGAGTCGGGAGAAGCTCATAAGGCATGTTATCATTTGCATTGGTGGATTTCTTCAGTTTTTAGTAAATAAACGAGTCATCCACAGGTTTACTGAGTCTTAGCTATTGCTATGCTCAGCTCTCTGAAAATCATTTGATTGGTGAAAAGGCAGGGATATTAGCTAGCGTTTTAACCGGAATTAATTGTATTGCTCTCCCCAGTCGTGCGAGAGCAGCAAACTGCAGTTCTATGTTTCCTTTGATAAGGTGAATTTCTTCATGCGAAGAAATAAGCTAAAGTAGAGATAACACATTGATTGGTTATGATAACACATTGATTGGTTATGTAAACATTATACTCCATAAATCATCAGGGGAAACATTAGATAGATACAAGAAGAGAGTGGAGATATATCAGAATTTTGTTTCTTAAGTCCGCTTGACAGGATCAAAGTTGGAAACACCAATTACAGCGCTAACAATTGCAGTAAGCACAACTCCTCCTGAAACAATGCTGAGCAAGAAGTTCTTGAGGGATGGCGAAACACCGTCAGCTGCTTCGGCTATGTCGGGAATCACCATGGAAGCAGTCAGTGCAGCTGCTGTCAATCCTGTCACAACCTTCTCCTTAAGTGAAGCCTTGACTTCAAACCTTGCAACTGGTTTTGATGCTGCACTACTCTTTGAGGGCTTTACTGGCAATGGCTTCAAGAAAGCCACAGCACTTGATTGCCTCTTCTGACTTGTGTAAGTCAGCGGCATGGCCATGGAAACTGCAGAAGAAGAAGCCATAATTTGCCTTTCTTTTTTGGTCTTTGCTCTGCGGTTTCCTTTTATCCCTAACTTTGCTGAATGAGAAATATGGTATTAGTAAGGACTGGTTTGGAGAGGAGAAAAATTTCGAGTTAGATTGAGAGAATGGAGAAAGGCTTTTCTATGAGAGGTGGAAATAAGCAATGGCGTTGCCACCTACTCCGTCCTATGTGGCGCATTCTACTTGGTTATCCTGGATAAGGTTATCTGATTGTAAGTGTTGTAATTTTATATTCACAAAACCTGAGGGTAATCCCACTCTAATTTGTGATTGTAGAGGGGAGAGTGGAGGAAATAAGTAGAACAGAGACAGATTCAAAAATTAGAGTTAATAGATTCAAAGTGGATATAGCTTATCGTGTGTGTCTCTCTCTCTATATATGAATTAGAACTGCACATTAGGTCATATAGTCTAATAGCCTAGATTGGCTGAGGGTGACTAAACTCGACCAGGGGGTTTATTTGGAGGGGCTTGGCAGTCACAGTGAAAAAAGGAAAAGAAAAACGAATTTACTTTAGAGCTGAAAATTTAAATGGGATCACTATTAAAAAATAATACAAAAGGACAAATAAAAAAATAATAATAACCACCAAGGGAAACGGAGCTATTTCGCAGTCGTGTAAACCATCCTCTGCAAGATCTGAAACTGGAAGACGCAGAGCCTCCATTTACAAGGTACTGTCATCCGACAAAATTTCATTGAAAACAATCCACAAATACATATTTAAAGAGAACATGTATAATACATATTAAAAAAAAGTGACATTATTAGAAAATAATATCAAATAAACATCAATTTCGGACAAGAAGCAAAATCTTATAACCTCTAGAGCCTTCATTCAAATTCACATATATACAAGTTCAGTTGTGATAATAGGCTGATACCATTGGCCTAAAATCATGTGTATGCCACTGGGATCAAGCATGGCTATTTAGCAGAGTTGTCTCTCACCACCAAAGGCGAGATAATCCTACCAATAAACGTGGCCTGAACCATCCAGGAAACAAAGTTTCACGTGATCAAAGGCGATATGAGATACAACGCCCTTTTCGGAAGGTCATGAATCCACAACATGAGAGTTGTACTTCGACCGTACACCAGGCCCTCAAATTCCCGACATCGAGAGGTGTCAAAACGGTGTACGGAGAACAACCAGCCGCAAAGAAAATGTTCGCCGTCGATGAAGCTAAACCAATGTCCTCACCTTCGCCGATAAAAGGATCGGGCTCGGAAGGAGAACGGGACACCAAATAGCAATCAAAGACATCGGCTTCGACCCAGCTAGATAACCAGAAGATCGAAGAGGATGATGATCAAAGGGTCCCTCGATCTTTCGTGATTCCCGATGACTCCGACGCCACCAAATCAACAATCGAGGAACTATATCAAGTCATATTAATCGAACACTGGCCCGAGCGAAAGGTATACTTGGGAACAGGGTTGAGCCCCGAACCCAGGAAGAAAATCATTCAATTTCTTATCGATAACATTGATTGTTTTGCCTTGTCCCATTTAGATATAACAGGGATCCCGATGGACATAACGACGCATCGGCTAAGTTTAGACCCCAGGTTTAGACCGGTGAAGCAAAACAGAAGACCCCAGTCCGAAAGAAAGCACGCGTTCATAAAAGGCGAGGTAACCAATATTCTCAAAGTAGGGTCCATTCGGGAGGTGAAATATCCCGAATGGCTAGCCAACGTAGTTGTAGTCCCTAAAAAAGGGAACAAACTTAGAATGTGTGTGGATTATAAGGATATGAACAAAGCGTGCCCCAAAGATTCCTTTCCGCTGCCCAACATCAATCGCATGATCGATGCCACGATAGGCCACGAGATCCTCACTTTTCTCGATGCCTATTCTGGGTATAATCAAATCCAGATGAACCCGGAGGACCAGGAAAAGACTTCATTTGTCACCAAATATGGAACGTATTGTTATAATGTGATGCCCTTCGGGCTAAAAAACACAGGAGCTACTTACCAACGCCTAGTAAATAAAATATTTGAAGAATAAATAGGAAAATCAATGGAAGTTTATATTGATGGCATGTTAGTTAAGTCCTTGCGCGCAGAGGACCATTTGACTCATTTGCAGGAAACGTTCGAGATTTTAAGGAAATACAACATGAAGCTCACCCCCGAGAGNNGAGTGCCAACAAGCATTAGAGAAACTAAAGCGATATCTATCAAGCCCACCACTACTTCACACTCCAACAATAGACGAAAAACCTTTTCTATACTTAGCAGTATCGGGAGTCGCCGTAAGCGGTGTCCTAGTTCGGGAAGAGCAAGGTACACAATTCCCCGTTTATTATACGAGTCGAACCTTAGGAGAAGCGGAAACTAGATATCCGCTCCTAGAAAAATTGGCACTTGTACTGATAAGCGCCTCAAGAAAGTTAAGGCCATACTTTCAACGTCATCCCATATGTGTGTTAACCACTTACCCGCTTCGTAATATTTTGCACAAACCCGAGTTATCAGGTCAACTGGCCAAATGGGCCGTCGAACTCAGTGGGTACGATATCGAATATCAACCCCGCACGACCATAAAGTCTCAATTTTTAGCAGACTTCGTGGCCTATTTCATGCCAACTCTCGTACCCGAAGTCGAAAAAGAACTGTTGAAATCAGGTACATCATCAGGGGTATGGATCTTTTTTACGGACAGGGATTCGAACGTAAAAGGGTTCGGGCTGGGCATAGTTTTGAAACCACCCACGGGTAGCACTATTAGGCAGTCTATTAAAACTATCAGGTTGACTAATAACGAGGCCGAGTATGAAGCCATGATTGCAGGTCTCGAGCTAGCCAGAAACTTGGGAGCAGAAGTCATTGAAGCCAATTGCGACTCCTTGCTGATGGTGAGTCAAGTAAACAAAACCTTCAAAGTTCGAAAAGATAGAATGCAAAGGTATTTAGATAAACTGCTTGTCACTTTGCACCATTTCAAAC